GAGAGACTGTTGATCATTTTGTTGATGAACGCTTTCACAAGTGGGAAGGACTTAGCTCCCAGGTGATCAGAACTGTCCACCAGAAAAACGACATCTGCATACTTGGGGCCTGCAAAATCAGCAAACACACACAATAAAACTTTCAAAGTGACTGCCTTATTTAATACCAACTACCTTATTTTATTTCCTTATTCCTTTCCAAATTAATAGTGATACTCACCCAAAATGTTAAATTCGCTCAAGAATAAGGGATTACTTATTTCTTGAATATATTCATTTATTATAACCTCTCATTTGAACTAATCACAAAATTATGCATAACTTGCAAAAGGAATCAACTAATTGGTAAATGCAGAGAGGTAAAAAAGTCATAAGGATTTATATCTTTGGTAGAGAATTTTCTGTTGTACATTTTTTAGCTTTCAGAATTTGATCTCAATTTATAGCAACAGGAAAAAAATTTAATTGAGAAGTAAATTGCTTTGAATTTGTTTGAAAGGTGAAATTTGAAAGACAACTTGTCATTATGACTATCATATAAGCAATACAGCAATAGTCTAATTGATTTACAAATACATTAGTTTTATATTTCAAAGTATCAAAGGGAGTTTAAAAATGTCCAAACATCCTAAATATATGAGTTTACCTTAATTATTTTATTTTAAAGTTGTTTATAGTATTTTTGATAAATCATAAGAATGAACATTATAATTGGTAAATACATTCTCACATATGTAAGCCATGATGAAAACCAATATGTCTTGGACTAGTAAAGTGATTAAAGTTTTAGTTTTCATTAAAGTATGATTTTCACAGATGAACAAAAATTTTCTGAAATTTTAAAGTTTTGTTTAGTGCCAGGCTCAATGTTAGGTCTCTAGAACTCATTCCGTAAAACTATGGAATGAGAAGGAGAATGATTGGATTCAAGCACTAACTGCATTTTCAGGTATTTCTGACTCTGAATTAAGAAATAACTGGAGGGAAAAGATTGCTTCTTTTAAAAAAAGCTTGATATTAGCCTCGGTGAGGCAACAAAAAAGACATTTCCAAACAAAGCCTAATTTATCTGTTTAGAAAATTACTTGCCAAGAACAAAGTCTTTGCGGAAGCTGTAAAAGCCAGTATAGGTAGCCCTGGACATGGATAAAGAAGTGATAAAGGTTGTAATGGCTGGACCCAGATTTTGACTTTAAATCTAAGGCACATAAAAAGCCAAGAAACAGCAGAGAGCAGAAACTTCAGATCTAATTTCTGTCCCGGGTGAATGCACTTTCCTTACAATAAACAGACAAACAGTTTAAATTGGCGTAAACTCTGGGCATTTAACCAAATGGGCACGAATGGATTAGGAAGAGATATTTCAGATTTTCCAGAACGGGAACCTAATCTTAAGGCATGGACTATTCATTCAACCTCCCAGACAGTCTAAGGGGGTTGAAACTGAGAACAGAATGACATTTTTTCATCCATTTACTGTTAGCACAGAAACATGCCCAGGAACAAAGGACCTTCAAAGGAACATAGGTGACATTAAAAAAGAAATGGCATTACCACCATCCCAATACTCAAAAACCAAAACAGAACAGCACCATGAGGCTCTTGCACGCAATCAATTTTTCGCAATGAAAGTTAGGGATAATAATTATTTCCATGTTTGTTTTTCCTTACCAGAGTCCTGGTTCACAGAAACATGGGAACAAATTATTAGGAGGAACACAATCAGCAGCATTTTCAAAGTTGGAAAGTCTCCAACTTTAAATCTGAAAAGGCGAAAACATAAACATCTAAAATCGTTGTGGTTATTATTTGGGCATGAGAATTTGTACACATATTAGCACACAAGATTATATAATAAATTGGGTGCAACCAAGGACAAAGAATTTCCGAGGTTGTCTTAATCTCTAACCCATGAAATGCCTTAGGGAAAAGAGAAATCAATATTTATAATCAGAAATGCTTATCTTGGTCCCTATTTTCTATAGAAACATGAGATTTGGGATCCTCAGTCGAGGTAGCCAGGTGCATTTTTGTGCTCCTGTGAATCATTTTCCTTGTACCCCATTGTCACTTTTTCTACTCATTCCCCATTCAGGTTCACGGCTGGGGCACAATCTAAGCCCTATTTGCTTTCTTCTGAGAGGCATGTATTGAATAGAATCCATTAAGTTCCTGGACAAATGGAGTAACAACAGTCATTTTGTATTAATGGCAGAACTTCAGATTCTTTTTTCTGTCACATTAGGGGGAAATGGTGACGAACCCAAAGGGGATGTGAACATTCCTTGAGTCAGAGTCCTTATTTTCCAAGTAATAGATATGAAATAATGATTATGCAGTTAATCGATCTAAAATAGCTTGCATGCTTTATTTAGTGGCTTACTTATGTATTGACTTAGAGAGGCCCCGTGATGGGTCAGATTTGACTGTTCTGGTTTCTTCTATAGACAAACACCAGCCCGGGGTCTTGCAGTCACCTGATTGGAAGGACACCCTCAATTTGGACTTCTTGTGGCTCGCAGCCTAGTTTGTTCTGACTCTGGAGCCCTTTCGTCTTCCAGGAAGGTGCTGCCTCAGCACGGACTGACAGCATCTTTTCAGGAAGGCAGAGCCCTCAGGGTTCTGAACGGAATTTTTTGCTCTCTGATGTGAACTCATTGACTGCTGTTAGTTCTTAAATACAGACATACCTCGTTTGATTGTGCTTCGCCTTATTGCATGCCTCAGACAGGTTTGTTTTTGACCACCTGGCCTCGAGCAGGATCTTACAGCATGTGCTCCCTTTCTGTGTCTGGGTCACATTTGGGCAATGCTCACCATATTTCAACCACCAGTTCAAAGCACACCCAAAGGATCCCTCCCTGTACAGTGCGATCACAAATTGAATGCACTTGGAAACCAAAATGTGTATGCCTTGCCTTACCTGGACACCGGTTCCGTTGTGGTGATAAGGAACCAAACATACAACATGCTGAGGTATGCTTGAAAATGAAAGCAATGGGAGTTAGCTGAGGTGACTTACCCCTTGAAACGCCAAAAACATTGCCTTTGACTCTCTTAGCAATCGGCCCATGGAAACAGAAAACAGAGACTTCTGCTCAGTCTCTCTAGTTAAGGTTGCCCTTAGATTTTCAGAGTCTCCTTCACCTTCTTGGCCTTGTGCTTCCTCTTACATTGCATGTGTCATCACGTGTCAAACTTGACATCACACACACACACACACACACACAAATCATGTACACCACGCGAGTTCAAGAGGTTTCAAGCAGTTCATGGGAAAATCCCATTATCGTTAATTCCATCTTCTCATGAATTTTTGAAGCCCCATGTAAACATCCTTCACTTGAAGGGAGACAACTGTGAGAGAAATCTAGCAGAGAGGTTACAGACCAAGTTCAGGGCCTCTTCTCTTGCTGACACCTGTTTCTCTCCCTTTCCCTTTTCTGCTCTCCCCTGAAGTATCCCAGGCAGTCCAACTGGTGTCTCTGACTTCGCAGAAACTTTTCAGCACTTTCTCTTGAGCTTTGCGCTGGCCTTCATGGATGCTGCTGCTGCTTGTGGTGGTGACTTGAGGAAGAATGGACGTGAACTTTTCCCCCTGAATCCTTCTCAAAATATCTTTCCAAAGAGGAAGTGTGTTCCTCATGGGACAAATTTATATAAGCCACAAGCTAATTTTTTAAAATCAACCTCATGATGATTATTTTAAGTCAATTATTCGTATCCTTAATTAATAGTTCCATCTAATTACGCTCATCCCCTTCCTTAATCCTATTACATAGAAATGACTGGCTGGAGAAAGGAGGAAAGTTGAGAATATTATTTAGTAGGAAACCTTCATGCTGCACAATGATTATTACAGGCTGGATGTCAAAGGAACTCGACTGGGGCCAATGGTTAAATGCTTGACTGATCATAGGAAGGTTGGTGCTTTGAACCTCCTGAGTGGCTTTCCAGAAGAAAGACCCAACAAACTGCTCCCTTCAAGGTTATAACCAAGAAAGCTTTAGAGGGATGTTCACTCATTGTTGGGGCTGGTAAGTCCCAGGTCCACGCCTAGGTGGCAGGCTGAAGGTTTCTGTTGGCTCACATGGTTGTAGGGGCAGATGAACCCAAAGGCTCCAAGCCAGGTGATGAGAAGCAAGCGATATTGAGAGAGAGAAAACACCTTTTACAAGAATATCCATTCGTGTACTGAAGGCAGCTCATGCCCCCAAGGAAACTCCCCTTTCCTGACTGCTCACATTGAATCATAAAACAGAAAGTGATTACATTGTGTTTGCCAAACCACTGAGAATCATGACACAGACAAGTTGATAGTTAATAGCAACTATCACAGTCCACCCCTTGTCAACCTAGTATCTATATGCACTTCCCTGAACTCTGCATAATCTCTGAATAAAAATAAATGTTCACATGTTCTAACACACACATACATACTCATATACATCTATGAGAGAGCTTTCAAAAGTGGTGGGAAAAGTCCGTGATCTTTTAGTTCAATTTACACACACCAAAATATGGAAGAAATACAATCATTGTTTCTGTAATATATCACTCGCCATCACAGGACTCAAGACTCACAAACATCAGTGCACACAAATACATGGTGTGTGATGGGGACAAGAATTCCTTCCTATTGTCTGTATGTTGTTCTGCTACCCGATATGACCAGGAATTTAATTCTTAAAATTAAAAGAGATCCAATCACCTGGAGACATAGGAAAAGAGAATGAAGAAAGTATTTATTTAAAGTAATCAATATAAAAATTTTAAATTCATTCCACCTTAATTTAACAGCAGTGAGATTGATTGCCTTTCATTAGAGAAAAACACACTCCAAGGTACAGGTTTCTTGAATCTGAAACTTGAGGTACACTGTTCATTCTGAAGCAGGCAATTAGAGTCTAATACATCTCTTTTAGAAATTTAAAAACAATCTGGCTCTCTGTAAACTTTCTGTTGAAAAGGTAGGATGTTTCTAATTAAAACTACAGCTGCAAAAGCAGCCCAGTCTCTCCAATCCTTGGCTTCAAACCCAGCCAAATGTGTAGATTTTGTGCAACACCCCCCTTGAGGCTATTAGAAACCAGAGTTCCAGGGAAACTTCTGCCCTGCAGCAGCCAATTCATAATCCTGTCCCCAAATGAAATCAAGAATCCAAGAAGAATACAAAAAAAACGTCAGCAGAATTAATATAAATGCAATTTCTGTCCTTTATAATAAGGCATGCCAGATTCATCATGTCTCAAGGAGTGCTTTTATTTTTCTTCAGAAACTGTATTGTTAGCAGCTGCACGATAAGAAACAGCATTGGGTCTCTGCCACAAAGTTGAAGATAAAAGCTTATTTGCTTATTTGACTCCTGATTTTTTCACTAATTTCTCTTCTTCAAGCCATTTTCCTTCCCAGAAATCAAAATATAGAAAACAATACTCAAAGCCAGATTTAAATGTTAAAATGTTGCAGATTAGCCCTTTGGCACACAACCAAAAACCAAACACACTGCCATTGGGTCGACTGTGACTCACGGTGAGCCTATTCAGGCACAGCTACATCAACAAAGGTAAGGGAACAAAATGCACAACCACTCATTGTACAGACAAGTTTTGCTTGTGGTGACACACTTTTCCCCAATAGGACGAGGATGATTACATTGATCATATTTGAACAGTGCCATACCTTACTACTGTCCTATGTTGAAGAAGCTCACCAAAAGTCTCTTGACTTAAGTACACTCTGTCCCTAAACTATTATGTGACCTCAACACTATGACTTGACTCCCCTACATTCCTCATCTGAAGCACAAGGGGTTAGCCTCTCTAAATCTGAGCAACCCCACATTCAAACAGTTCATGAATCTGACAAACACAGTGGAAGATATTTGCATAACAATATGTATTCCTAGAAATTAGGGGAGGAGCCCTGGTGGTTTGATGGTGATGCACTTGGTTGCTAGCCTAAAGGCTGGCGATTGGAATCCATCCACTGCTCTACAGAGAAAAGGCCTGGCAAACTGCATTCACAAAGATCCCTCCATCCTCATCCCTACAAAATCTCCCCCCTGCCCCAAATTAACTGACATTGAGTCGATTCCAACTCACAACTACTCTATAGGACTGTGTAGAACTGCCCCTGTGGATTTCTGAACCTGCACACCATGATAGGAGTAGAAAGCTTCATCTTAACTCTATGGGACTTCAATCCTGTCCTATAAGGTTGCTATGAAGGGGAATCAAACCACAGTAGAAATCAGTGGAAAAGAACGAACAACAAGAGCCCAAAACATAAACAGGCATTTCATAGAAACCAAAACACATATAGGTACTAAACATGAAGAAATGTGCACACTCACGTGTGATCAAGGATCATACTACTTTCATTCAACTGGCAACAATGAAACATCTGACAAAGTTAAGTATTGGAGAGATGTGGATATTCATCTATAAGATGGGAGTTCAAATGGGTGCCACCATGTTGGAAAACAGTTGTCCTTGTTCTATCAAATGGAACACTCTCAGGCCTTATGACCGAGCAATTTTCCTAGGAAATTCTGGTACATATATACCAAGAGGTAGGTTCGAGAATTTCTATAGCAGCACCGATTACAATAGCACAAGTCTGGAAATAATCCAAGGAGTTATTTTTGAAGAATGCTAAAACAAACAAACAAAAAACAAACTCACTGCTATGGAGTCCATTTGAACTCCTAACAACCCGGTAGGATAGGATAGAACTGCCCTATGGGTTTC